TATATATACATATACATATGTATATTTATTTATGTTTATATTTATATTGATATTTAAATAATACATTTAGAGTTATTAGGAGTATAGAAGAAGAAATTGCCTAATACCAAATTTTTTTGAGCTTCAGAAAGTATGATGAGTAAGAGGAACTTCTGAATGTTAATTATGAAGTATTTAGTCCATGACCCGTAGGTTGAGCTAATAGAATTAAAAACAGCTCTGGGATCTCTACCACTGCTGTCACGTCTAAGTGGGAAGTAGCGGAAAAGATAAATAAAGTGTATTAGGCAGAGATGTTTGACAAAAATTTCTCAGACGATTTCATAATCACTTTTCTCAAACTATTCCATGATCACCATTCGGCATCACTACTTAGTTGAAGAAAAGTTTCATTAATCATTCACTAGTGGAACGGCATGGAGGTAAAAGGTGTGATAAATGGAAGACCTATACAATAAATAGTCATAACAACAGAGCATTTATAAGCGTTTTACAGGCTACGATGTTGATAGCAATGAAACTGTTGTTTTTGTTGTTAATGTTGGTGATGATTAATGAAGCTAAAAGACAGCCAGTTCAGACAAACAGTTGTTTTTATTTGCACTTTTAATAATCGTTTTCTTCTTTTTTTTTTCTTTTTTGGTTTCTAAGCTGTCTCATAAAGTGGTGGCTTATAATGACTACGGTATATGATTGGTTTTTTATTCCTTAATAACCCTGGGAATTTTAGAGTGCATAATTATTGTTTTTATCCAGCTTAACTTAGTGAAACTGATTCAACTTTTAGTCTTGTTATTTGAATGGGGAGCAATCTGCGTTACAGTTTGTTTACTGTTATCAGAAGCTCGGCTTTTTCGACCGAAGTTGACAATTTTCTCTATTCTTTGTCTGAATAAAGCAAAAAGAATTGGAAATAGGCGGGAGGATGATTGCGTACAATTCAAAGTAAATCCAAAAATTTTTTTAGCTTTTTACGACTGACTTGCTACTTAATTAATCATCTGAGCGATTAGTTAGTTAGTTGGTTAGCTGCTGAGCTAGTTAGGTAATTAGTCTCTAAACTATTTAGAAACATCTATAAATACAAAATGCTTACTCAATAATTTTATGGATGTCGTCGTTGATCTTTTTTCTTTTGTTCAAGAAGGGAACCGACGATATTTGCAAAAGTTCATTTATGTAGTGTTTTAGGTTGACACAAAAGAATTTGACCAGAAAAAAACATAAAGGGAAAATTTTTTTGGGGAAATATTCTTCCTCTTTTATATTTTTACGGAAAAAGTCACTCATCTTTTGGTCTTTTGGTGGCACAAAATGATTCGATCGCCTTAATTGTCATATTTGGGCACTTCAACTTAAAAAAAAGTTGTCTCTTCACCAACTTACTCTTTATACGCCTCAATTACAATCATTTTTTCTTTCACTGTAATTTTTACTGCAATTGTTGAAACCAGTAGTTAAGGTAAATAAATATTTTGATGGATAGTTAGATGGACAAATAGATAAATAATCAGGTGGAATGAATGGCTTTGCTGGGTTGGAAGCAATAGTATCGTTTGCTTTTGATTCTTGCTGTTTATTTGTCGTTTTGTTTTTCTTAACAACGACGACAACTAATAATGACTATAATGCAGTTTTTTTTTTTTTGCTAATGGAATTCAAGTGTTGTTTGATAAGTATTTTGCTGTTGTTTCAAATACTCAATAAAGGGTACACAAAAATTGACAGTTAATATTGCACATAGTGTAAGTTTCTTGATCTGTTTTCTGTCTTTTTATTGAGTCAAAAAACATTAAAAAGAATTTTACGAGTTGTAGATTAGTTACAAAATTATTATGAACAAGAAAAAATTGTTGTATAATTTGGTCTTTTTTCTTCCTTTTCAAACATTAAAAGATTATATGCGTTAAAAAAACAGAAATATTTTGCCGGTTGTGTTTCAGTTATTCTGAAACGAAATAAGGATAATTAAGTTGTTCAAATATAAAATTGTTAACATAAAAAAGCTTTTCGTTGATTTTAAAAATCTATAACTTAGTATTGTTGACAAATATATGATTGTTGGTTGTTCTTCTTTTTTCGTTGTTCTTTACCACTGATTTGCCAGCAAACGCGGAACAGTTCGCTAGTTGGTTTGTTGGTAGAATTTAGTAGGTGGTTCAGTGGTTGGTTGGATGGACGAATGGATGGATGGATAAATGTTGAATCAAAGAACACAATGATTTTGTTTCGTTAGTCTTTTTTTTTAAATTTTCCTAATTGATTTTAGAAACTAAAGTAAGTGATGACGACTATTTTTGTACAATAAAATAGTATTAAATTAAGAAAACAGCTAAGATTTTTTAATTTTGTTTTTTTCTCGTCTTGAACTAATTATATCTAGTTTACACGCTCGGTATAAGTCATGTTTACTGCTAAACCATAGTACTGCTCAGATAGATAATACTATTTGTTAAGTTTTCTTTTTTTAGTTCCCCACTTGTCATCAAATAACGGTTTAAAAGCTTTTGTTGAGAAAGGGAGATGGGTTGTGATTAGAATAGAAGGTATCAAGTTTGTTTTATGTGCGTTACGTCTGTGGTCGAATGGGATAAACTGCGACAATAATGACAGTGATGTCGGCAATGCATAGTATCTGTGCAGTAATAGAAGCAGAAAAAAAAAATTGCTGTTGAAACTGCAGAAACAAATAAAGGGCTTCGGGTAGCTTTTTTTTTCTTTGCGAAAACTAAACAGAAAATATAATAACTGATAGAATCGGTAAGGTGATGTAACAATGGTTCAATTTTTGGACAGTCGTTGCTCTGTTGAGCAGAGCTTAAGGGGAAAGTTGTATTTGTTTTGTTGTTTGAATGGATTTACTTTGCACCTTATTTTTGCTTTCTTTTCCCGTCTTTTTGTTTATCAGTCGTTGGTAATATTGTTGCAGTACTTGGATAATCGTTTTTTACCTACACATTATTAGTTTTATCATTTTT